TCGATCGAGCCAAATTTAAGTATTCTTATATCCGGCCCGAGTAGCTCATGAGCATAATCGAGCTTTTATATTTAAATATATTTTTATTATTTTAATTAATAAAATATTTCGAATTCGAGTTCGAACTTGAGCATAAATAATCAAACTCTTATCGAGTATACGAATCGAACTTATTTTTACATATTAATCAAGCAACCTTGAGTAGTTCAAATTCGATCACGAATCGAGCTCGAGCTTCAAAAATAAAACTCGATCGAGTTCGAGCTGAGTATCGAGTCGCGAGTTGTAAGTCAAGCTCGAGCTCGAGCTTGAGCTTCTCACTGTATCGACTCGACTTAATTATACACATAATCCTGGCAAAGCAAACAACAAAAAATATATCATTTTTTTATTTAGCAAAGTTTTTAGACATGTTCAGTATATTTTCTTGTCAACTTGATTCAAAAAAAATTATTTATATCTAATTTAATGGATTTACGAGGAATTATTTTTTCACATTTTCCTAACGAATTCAATTTATAAAAAATATAAAAAAAACATTTTTTTTACCACTTAAACTCACCGGTGGTAAAATATATTAAATTAGACACATTTTGAGTGTTATAATTTTTACGTTACACTTTAGACAAAAACCTATAGAAGTACATTAAAAAAAATGTATATATGTATAAAATAATATATTGAAAAATATTGTTAAAATTTTTTAATCTAAACCTAACGCAAACTTTAAAAAAAAAAAAAAAAAAAAACCTCAAAATAGCAATTATCAAAATCCAAAAAAGCAAAACTATATTCCAAATCTACCTTTTCTTATTCTCAATACTTAATGAAATTTAATTACATATTTATACATTAAATATGATATTTAAGAAATTTTAACATTATTTATGTAGTATTTTCAAGTTGTCAGCTATACTTTATTTCATTTTTTTTATTTTTCTCTAATTTGTGGTAATTATACTTTAATTATATAGTTCTTTTTATTTCTCTTAAACCCTTTTATTCACCACTATTTTCTTTCTTTTATTTACGCCACCTTCAATTTTTTTTTTCTAAAAAGGCAAATGGATTGAAAATTTATTTTTTCTTAAATAATTAAGTTAATAGCACCTGTAATCCATAAATTTTATCCAAAATTATATTTTAATCCCTAATATTTAAAAGCTTTAATCGAAATTACTCAATGTAGTTTTTTTTTTGTCATTTCATCTATAAAATCGTCTAAATTGACAATAAATGTCAACTTGCGTGATGACAAAAATTGACATCTCATGTGGTAAAAAATGGACCAAAATATAATTTTATCAAAGTTTAAGGATTAAAAACGAAACTATCTCAAAACTTTATATGTTTCATATGTTTTAAACAATATTAAATTTAAAATTATATTTTTATATTTTTTGTTGTAATATAATTTATTAATTATATATATTTTAATAGAAATTAGATTTTTAGAAATTAAAATTATGTTAAAAATTCAAATTCTTTTTTAAAAATTTAATATCATTTTGAAAACAAAAAAAATATTTTGTATTAAAAATATTATTTCACTTATAAATCATAATTAAAATATTATTTTCCATTCAAAAAATATATTTTTAAAAATATTAAATATAATTTATTTTCCTTTTTAAATATATTTTTAATTTTATAAAAATAAAAAAGTAAAAGTAAAATAGTTAAAGAAAAATTAATTTATATATATATTTTTAAATTTTACTATAATATGATTTATCAATAAATTGTAGTTTAATAGAAACTAGATTTTTAAAAGATTAAAATTAAGTTAAAATTTCAAATTAATTTTTTTAAAAATTACATATCTTTTAAAAAAATTAAGTAAAAATGTTTATATCTGTTTAAAAAATTGAATAAAAACTTAATATCATTTTAAAATATTATGTACGAATTTCTATATCATTTTTTAAAAATAGGGTTATTAATCTATTCAAAAATTTATTTTCTATCTAAAAAATCTATTTTGAATTTATTTTTGTTAAAAACTTTATATTGAGATAAAATAAAAATATAATTTAAAACATCTTTTTTTTTATAAAACATATTTTATAAAATATATTTAAAAAGGAAAACTAAAGATATTTAATATTTTTAAAAAATTAAAAATTTTGGATAAAAAGTAAATTTTTTTATTATGATTTATAAGTAAAAATAATTTTTTAATAAAAAATTATTTTATTGTTTTTAAAACATATTGAATTTTGTAAAAATTTTAATTTAATTTTAAATTTTGAATATCTAATTTTCATCTAAAGAAAAACATCTAACTAAAAAATTATATTACAAAAGAATATATATAATTTTAATTTTAAATTTAATTTTTATAAGATATATATGAAATACATATATTTTTTAAATAATTTTACATTTAGTTGTTAAAATATAAGATAATTCTATTTTTATCTTTTGTACCATATAAGTGTTTGATGTTTAACATTTATTGTCAATTTAGATAATTTTATAAATAAAATTTTTTTAAAAATTAAAAATTTAATTATAACTTTTTAAATATTAAAAATCGAAATAAAATTTATATGAAAGTTTAGGTGCTACTAGGAGTGTAAATGAGACATTAGTACTCGCAAGCTACTCAGATTCGACTTGATTAAAATTCGAATTTGATTCGATAATTATCGAGTCGAGCTCGAGCTCAAGTAGCTCGACTTAGCGAACGAGCTGAATTCGAGCATATTAATACCTGGCTCGAATAGCTCACGAGCCTAATCGAGCTTTTCTATTATATATTTATTTTTATTATTTTATTTATAAAATTACTTTTTTACCTTTAACTTAAAAAACCCTAAAATTTTATTTTCTTTCCTTCCCTCTTTTCTGTTAGTCTTTCTCCCAGTCTCTCTCACTCACCAAAAAACCCTTGCGGTGCATTTTCCTCCTGAGTCCCACTCCACTGTCTTCCAAGCTAGCTTAGACCAAAACCAACTCAAATCCAAGACAAATCAAAGTTGAAACAAGTTGCTGTGTGTTGCCCTTCTACACAGTAAGTGCTTTTCTGCGTGTTGCCCTTCTTGTGTTTGATTTGTCCTATAGTTATAGTTTTACAAAGTTATCTTATGCTGCCTTTTTGTTTATCAAAACATTATGTTAGAGCTTTTCCAAATATCTTCATGAAAATTTGGGATCACGGGTTGAGACTTGGTCTCAACTCGAAAGCAAGAAAAAGACCTCTTTCACTGAAGTTGTGAGAAAGAAGAGTTCCCACCTACCGCTACCTATTAATCTATTACTGCCCACTTTCAAGGGCAAGTTCCCCGAGAGAACCCTTAAGTTGATGAAAGACTTGAAAGTGCATAGAAAGTATTCATTTCCACATCGGGTTCGAGAAATGAAGCTGGAAGACAAAACAAGGGCTACCGTCAAAACCCACCAGCCACTCCCTATGCCTTTGAGTGCCATCCAAATCAAAGACCTTTACAGCAATAGGGCTTGAGATTGTCATCAATGAATCACCTGTATATAGGTCCAGACCCACCTTCACCGAAAAAATTACTCTTTGAGAACTTGTGTGTTATCACTTCTAGCTTATTAAGGGTAAAGATATGAAGGCTTATAAGAGAATTTGAACGATTGCTCAGTGAAAGTGAAGAGTTAGGGTGGCTAATAATAGAGAATGATAGCCTTTGGTTAGGACTTTGTTTGGTAGCATGAACTTTAGGACCTGAAGATGGGTACTTAGGTTTGATGTAGTTGGGGAGGATATTTTTCCATGACATACTTTTTTAGGGCCATTTTTTTATTAAATGTTTTTATGTTAGGCTTCCAATTCACACTAAAAGGTGGTTTAAATAAGAATGCCTAAATTAAATACCCTTACGAATGCCTAAATTAAATACACTTATGAATATTGAGGGGATACAGATCGAGAACAACAATGAAAGGGGGCAAGGTGCTATAACTATTTGTTAGTATTAATCTTTTCAATTCTGATTTGTTTGTCAAACACTATCACATTATACTTTTATTTTTGTTACAAACTTGTGAAAAGCAGTATGTTCTTTGTGAAGTTGCATTTAAATACTGAATTTTATAAACCAAAAGTCTAGATTGAGCTTTTTGCATTATAGTTTACGAACCATAGGTTAACTAATGATAGAAACTCATGTTAAGGCAATTGACAAGATATTGTTTATATTTTTTGCTCTGATTATAAGGCAACTAACAAGATAAAATCCATGTTGATGCTAATGTTAAAAATTTAAAGTTATTGATCATTGTAATAATATTACAATCTTTTTCTTACATGGGTGCTTTTACCGTTATTCTTATTGTTAATTATAATTTTTTTATTTTGTAATTATCCTTTTGTGTATGTTTATTGAAAAACAATATGAGCCCAATGTTCATTTGAAGACATAATATTGTAAAGGCAGCATATGTATTGTTGTTGGTTTATTGTAACTTATTTGTGAACTTATTTGCTTGGATATTTAATATCTTTCAATTAGGATTTTAATTTCTAAGTTTCATTATGTCTTATATTTGTGTGTTGCATTTGAATCGTTTAATGAGACTTTTATTTGCTTAAATTTAGTTGTGTGTAAGTTTTTATTATTATTATTGTTGTTATTGTTATTATTGTTGCTATTATTATTGTTATTATCTTGAAAACATAATATTTATTAGGTTTGATAAAAATTAGTTGTAAAAGATCTCGAGCTCGAGTATAAATAATTATTTTTTTTAGTATAAAAATCAAACTTTTTTTTATATATTAATCCAATTTGATCGAGCGAGTTCGAGTAGCTCGATTTCGATCACGAATCGAACTCGAACTAAAAAAATAAAATTCGATCGAGTTTGAGTTAAGTATCGAATAATGAGTTTAGAGTCGAGCTCGAGCTTAAGTTTATTATTATATCGACTTGACTCGATTACATCCTAAGTGCTACCTCTGCTATTAAATTTAAATAATTTTAAATCTTAATTTTTCGTTAGAAGCAATTTAAAAAAAGAAAAAAAAAAAAGGGAGAATAAAAAAATCTGGGGTTTTCTCGTCGTTAGGAGTCCGTATCCATATGTGGTTCAAAACCTAGGGAAGGAGAATAGAGTTGTAAATTGTAATTGTGCTTATCTCGGTAACTCAACTCAGGCAGCTCTACCTGTTCCGGAGCGAGCGTAAGTGGGGCAACGCATTTTCCTCGTCGTCCCAATCCCAAACTTGTAATTCCCAGCTAGGAAATGTCTCACTCTCACAAATTGGTCATCAAGTAATAATTAATCGCCCAATTCTTTTTTTTTTTTATCAAGTTTTTAGCTACATCCACAATGAATACTTATATTTTAACTAGTTATTTGTTTTGTAATTGGAAAAAGGAGGTCTTCAGTCAGTCGTCCCCCAACACCAACACCAACACCAGATGCGAACAAGGATCATCAAGATCAAAAGCCCTCTCTTCAAGAAATCAACACCAAGGTTTTTATTTTTTTTCATTGGCTGGAATTTCTACATATTATTTCTGTATTTGATGCTGCGTTATTTTGCATTTAAAAAAATTTTATAAAATAAAATTCACAAAAATCTACTATGTAGTTCATTGAGAGCGGAGAAAAAGAGCGGCTGAAGGAGCTTTTGAGGGAAAGGCTTATAGAATGCGGTTGGAGAGACGAGATGAAAGCTCTTTGCAGGTTTTCCCTCTTTTGCTTTTCGATAATCTCTTTTTTTTTTTTTTAATTTCTTACATTGGTTATTTATTCTAGGCTTTTGAAGAATGAATGCGTTTTTGCATGTTTCCGTTTTTAAAATGGGTTTTTTTTTTTTTTTGTGTGCAAAAATCTGTTAACTTATCTGGTTATATCTGTTGTTCTTTGATATGAACAAATAAATCCAGAAATCAATGAAGATCTATGACTAAGTAGGTTTTTAGTTTGCTTGTTAATTTTGTCATAGATGCTAAAACATCTGCTAATGAGGTGTTCTTTGATATTTTAGTTCTGCATTCGAATGTCCAACTCCAATGGTGTTCTAAGGTATCATCTCAAATTGCTTGTTTGGTATGCTGGCTAGGCATATATAGTATTTTCTTCTTGCCAGACATTTATGAATGACATAAGATTTCTGTATATCTAAGTCTAAGAATTGATGCAAAGTGCACTTGTAATGTGTTGCTTTCAACTTTGATATCAAGTATCATTCTTTAATGGATTCTATGAGGTTATATCACTCACTATCTCAGGCACAAAATTAGGTGTAATTAGAGCTTTTTTTTTTGGCCCTTTTGATAATGGATAACAAGCTCCTTTGTTTTGTATGACAGGTGCTTCAATATGCTAGTCTTGGCTTTTGTTTTGCTTCTTACATTGATTGTTTCCATTCCACTATTTGTGTTTCTCCATACCTAGTCTTTCAAACTCCTAAAATAACATGCTTTTTTATATCTATAATTTGGTCCAAGGGCATTTACAAGGAAGAAAGGAAGGAACAATGTTACAGTGGATGACCTAGTGCATGTAATCACCCCAAAAGGTAGAGGTGGGTCTATCTTTCTCCTCCTTCTCTATTCAATCCCCCACTCACACACACACACACACACACACACACACACAAAAGAATACCTTAAAAACTTTGAGAGAGAGAGAGAGAGAGAGAGAGAGGGATTGAAGGAATGTGCTACTTCTAATCCTGTATTCATAGCAGTTTGGTGTGAAAGGATGCTTGAGTATTTGATTATTATTTGAGAACTTGCTTCCTTATTATCTACATGTTTTTTCTTTTGGGTTTGGTGCTTAATTTTGCAATTAAAATGAATGTATTTGTTTTCCACTGTCTAAAGGAGTGCATTGCAAGTTGCAACAACGTTTGCAAATTGAGCTTAAGCATTCAATTTTGATTGTGTTAAAATCAATACTGTTGAAAATGGAGAGTGAGACAGCTTAGAGTGGAAGAAACTCACTGCAAAGATGCATTTGATCAGGCATTCAAGTTTAATTGTAATTCAATCAGGAGAAGAAAGTACAAGAAAATACGTTGACTCTAATGCTTTTCCAATTTATTTATGATAGTAGTAGGTTTGTTTGGAAAGCTGTGACAGATCACTGCCTTCAAGTTGTTTGTCTTTTTGATTACTTGTTATGCTTATTATTCTTTGAGGTTCACTTATATACTACCATTCTGGTTCTTTGAATATGATTTAGACATTATTTATTGACCTACAGAAATAATTTAATAGGAACCCATTTGTTCATGTTCACCGTAACCTATGTATTGAAGCTACCAATTCACTGCGATGGGCTGTCACCTACCCTTTTTGTTTTTGTATGATCCAAAAAGAATGTTATTAACTATTTATTTTAGGATGGCTACTTGTTTGTTACCAGTTGCTAGTTACTAGTTAGTGTCTTCATATACACCATATCTGCAATGTACCAACAAAAAAAAAAAAAAATGCACCATATCTGCCATACATTTTATTTTCTTGCTTGCTTTGGAATTTTTTGACTTAAGGTTTACTCCTATCATCACTCGTGTCTGTGCAGCATCTGTTCCTGATTCTGTGAAGGCCGAACTGTTACATAAGATTAGAACTTTTCTTGCATCAAATGCTGCTTGATATCATTCAAGTAGTCTACTAAGAAACTTGCCATTGTGGGTTTCCATTTTAAGTGCTGTTAGTCTGCTTTTGTCATATGAACGCTTTCATGAAGGATTATAATCACATTGTTTCTTCGGACTCGTTTGTTGTTTTCTGGGTGACAAGTTGAAGCAACGGATAGAAGCTGTTTTCATTGTTAAGTAAGTTGTGCAACTCAAATTGGCCACATAATGTTAGGACTCTTGAGTTGTATTAGTATTAGTATTATAGTTATTCAAGACACTGGATATTTACAAAGTACAACCCATCCTTCGATGAATTAATTGTAGTAGTAAATAGAGAAAATAAATGTTAATTGTATTCGTGTGTCTTAGAGGTGCAAACAACCCAAGCGCACAGCACGGTTTAGCCCATCATGAATTGTGCCAGCATGGTTTATGTTGCTATGGTAATGGTGTTTTCATTTGATATATTTATTGATTTTTTAAGTGGTAAGAGCTCATGATATTTTTAGTTGGTATGATTGTATACTTTTATAATCAAAAGAATGTGGCAATTTAACAAACGGTTAAGCGAAAAAATAATTAATCAAATATTAAATTTCATAAACTAATGATTAATTTAAAAAATAACCCAAAATTAAATAACTATCTTTATATTTTACAAAAAAAAAAAAAGTGAAGAGTTGAGCTGGTTTTAAGAGTTGTTTTTTAATAAGGTTGTAATTGAATAGAATATAAATAAATATATGTTTATAGTTTGTTTGTTTATTTTTAAAAGTGTTCGGATTTGATTTGTGTTCGGTATAAAAGCATTTTGTTTGTTTGAATTCAGTTTGTTTAAATGATGAAATGTTTACGTTTGATTTAATTAAATTAAATGAATTTATTTATGAATATTAAACGAATATATTCACAAACATATATAAATAAATATATTTATGAATAATAAGTAAATTATAATAAATAAATTTAAACAAATTGAACCTTAAATGAATATAAATTAATCAAAATAAATATAACTAAATTGTAAAATAAGATAAAAGTAAAAGGTAAAAATATAATTGTATTAATATTATTATAAATGAATAAATTTTAAACTAATATATTCATAAATATAAATAAATTAAATAAATTTTTATTTATATTTAATTTATCTAATAAATAAATATAAAATATTATTTAAAATTATTTATTAAAATAAATAAATAAATATAAACAAACAAAAATTAAATATATTATAAGTTCTACTCATTTGCACGTCTTCCTCTTATAGGTGTTCAATGTGCAAATTCCAAACTTAAAGCTAGGCTTCGCCGTCCGCGACGTTAAAAAAAAAGAGAGAGAAAAGTGAGGAGGCGAAAGGAAAGTACCGCCAAATTTCAAGGGCCATCCGGTCTTTTTATCCAACTTCGCTTTGCTATTCTGTTCCGTTCTCTACTTCTCTTACCCAGTAAAAAACCCTAGCGGCTGCACTCGCAGTTAGAAACTTGAAAAAAAAGGCAAAAATGGAGTTTTCTCAAGCCGATTTCGATCGCCTATTACTCGCCGAACACACTCGAAAAACCTCTGAACTTAACTACGCGAAGGACCCTCTTGACGCCGAGGTTTTTTTCTTTTTTTTTTTTCAAATTTCCTTTCCTTTTCCATGTAAAGCATTGCAAATACGTACTCAACTTTAGTCCCATACGTTTATCTTTTTTCTTGTTTATTGCTTTATTTTTTCTTTTTAAATATTTTCATTCTATTCTCTGTTCATTAATTTTTATACTAATGAAATTTTAGTTATCTGGTTCTTAAATTCTTGTCTTATTCTTTTGTTTTACTTCGAATTTCATCTTTATCTTTTCAAAATAATTGTTGCAGAATTTAACGAAATGGGGAGGAGCGTTACTGGAACTAGCTCAATTTCAGACTGTTTCAGATGCAAAGAAGATGATAACTGGTATTCTATCTTTTTCTTGAATTTGTTCCGATGTTTTTTTTTTTTCTCTTTTTGTTTATTATTATTTTGCTAATGCAATGAATATTGATCCTATAGATTCAATTTCGAAATTGGATGAGGCTTTGATGATAAATCCCTCCAAGCACGAAACTTTGTGGTGCATGGGAAATGCGTACTCCACTTCTGCATTTATGACTACGGATCATGATGAGGCTAAGGTTTCTTTTGATAAGGCTGCTCAGTTTTTTCAAAGAGCAGTAGATGCGGTAACTTCTTTTTCTCTCTGTATATTTTGAAATTCCGAATCTGAAGGTTTTGGAGGCTAATTTTGGGGATTTTTTGTAAAATCTTCGTAGGATCCGGACAATGAGCTATATCAGAAGTCTTTAGAAGTTGCAGCTAAGGTATATACATATATACTTGATTTTTCTTGTTTTGCAGTAACTTGAGAATTTTTCCTTCATGGATAAAGATGTATGCTTCAGTTTGAATAAACCTCAGAAATATAAAACTTCAGTTTATATATGTTTTTTAGCCGCATTGTTTACCGTGTTCATTATTTTGGTATAAACTTTGATGATGTGATAATCTGGACTTTAGATTACAGAGAAGAAGCAGGTTGCTTCATCAATGATAAGGTTATGGCTAGTGTATATCTGGTTTTCTAGCAGCCTGTGCTTGATAAGTTTAGTCAGATTGGTGTTTTCCTTTTGTTTTACTTACATATATATTGGCTTGAATTTCTATAAGTCCCTTTTTGCATCGAATGGCCGTCTTTATTTTCTTGGAAAAAAGGAAGAAATATTATCAAAATGAGTGCGGGTTGAGTAGTGGGGTCCTGGTGATACCACAAGCTTGGACTTTATGCAGACAGCTATTCATGATACTATATTCTGTGAATTGGCTAAGTTTTTACAGGGGGTATCTTGTTTATCTGATGACTGATATTTGTTGATGATTTTATTTGTTTTCTTAGGCCCCAGAGTTACATATGGAGTTCCAAAAGGCTGCAGCTGATCAACAGGCTATGGCTGGGGCACCTTCTGCTTCGTCAACTGCAAATGTGAGATTTCTTCTTGTTATATTCATCTTTGATTCCCAGTGTGCGACTGCATCCAATTCATACATGAAATGGACATATTCTGCCTTGTGGCTCATACATGAGGCATGGTTGCCTCTTCATTATAGGTCCATCTCTATAATAGGATATCATTTATCTCTCTTCTGAACTGTTAAATTTCCTGAAAATTTTTCTTGTTATAGGCTGCATACGACTAGAGTCTCTTGTTTTCTCTCTGAAACCTTTCCTTTCTTTGCACAAACAATCCTCTGGTTTAGGGTTTCTTTCTTCTCTTTATTGTAATGGAAGGTTAAAGGCTTGGCTCGCATAGGGCTGTTTTAGGGACTGACAATATTTTCCTGCGAAGATAAACCATCTCTTTATTGAAGTAGATGTTAATTAAGATTTTGATGATGGCTTTTGTGAGGTTTAGGTAATGAAATAGAGCTGCTTAGCAGGCCTGATTCTAGTTTTTGGAATCGTAATTGTCAAAGAAAAAACATTTTCTAGGCTTCATTCCCAGTTTTTTTATACATCCTTACTATAAATTGATTGATTTGTTAAATAACTGAAAACGTTAAAATAAACATAATTTATGCTATAATGTATTAGGTCTTGAGCTTTGTTTTGCTTACATTTCTTAACCAAGTGGACTGAATTTGAACTGAATCTGAGTATTTCAAAAGTTCAACTCTAACCGCCCCCTGCTTCCATCTCTCACCCTAAGGTGAACCATGTAACAGTGTCCGGAGTCCTGACATTAGCCAATAGCCGTTAATAGGAGAAGCCTTCAATGCATCATAGATTCGTAATTGATGGCTATGTTGTCTATGAACTTATGCATACATGAAGTTAATAGAATATTCTTGCTGATTTCTTTCTTTTAGTTTCAGGCTGCCAACAAGAAGAAGAAGAACAGTGATTTAAAGTATGACATATTTGGATGGATAATCCTTGCTGTTGGAATTGTTGCATGGGTGGGAATGGCGAAATCCCATATTCCTCCACCTCCTCCAAGATAAAAAGTCTTGCTTTACTAGTACTTGAGGTAACCATTCTGGTTACTTTGGTGGAAGGTTCATACCTTTTTCATTAGAAAGTTCACCCTGGTTCGCTTTAGAAAATTGGAGCAAGTGGCTTGCTGTCATATTTTGATTTTGATTCTAGTACATTTTCTTTTCCCTTAATGTAATTACAATTTGATTAGGATGGCTATCTCGGATATTGATTATGAATTAATTATTTAATAGATATAATAAGTATTTTGTTTTGACTTTGGCCTTTCCTTGTTTGCCTTTATCTTTTGTTAGTTTTGCATGTTTCTTTTCTTGACTTTTGATGATTTTAGTTATGGAGGGGTCTGTTGCTGCACGACACGATGCAAATATCTTTTGTAGCATTTTCTATTAAGAGAAATTGTTTTCCACCAGATGCTACTGCCAATAATGATGAATAATTGTATAAAAAGCTGACCCGGTTAGAATAATCATATTACTTTTAACTTTTGAAGAGTCATTTAGTACTAGGTGAATTGGTGCGAGGCAATTGGTTTTTTTTTTAATAACAAAGTTATTTTTAATGGAATTTTTGCTTTTGATAAATGGGCAAAACATAATATGCGAAACCACGGCATAATACTCTAAGCCACGACTTGAGGTTGTAAACGAATTGAATACGAATGAATGATTGTATGTATGTTTGTGTTTGTTCATTTATTTTTAGAAGTGTTCGTGTTTGATTCATGTTTATTAAAAAAATTATTATATTCGTTCATGTTTGTTTATTTAAATAATAAATTGTTTATATACTGTTCGTATTTGTTCAATTAAATTAAATGAGCTCGTTTTCACAAATATAAATAAATAAACACATTCATAAATAATAAATAAATTTAACAAGAGATCTTAAATGAACATAAATAAATCTAAACAATATAAATGAACTTTAAAATATAATTAAGGTAAATGATGACAATGTAATTTAAAATTGTTTGTTAAATTTAGGAAATGAATATAAACGAATAAAAATTAAACATGTCTATGAATGGTTCACTAAAAGCTCTGTTCGCTTTTATCCTTAATCACGACTTGGAATTTCATAGACAAATAGGTCAGTCACAATAAAAAGATTTAAATTATTTAAGGTTCATTTGGATAGGTGTTGACATTGATTTCGATGATATTAAAATCAATAATAAAAATAAGTGTTTTGATGTAAATGTAACGGTTACAATGAGATAAATAATCATAAAGGTAAATTTGATTATTATAATGGTAAGATTAAAATCAATAATAGAAAAATATGTTTTGATGCAAATACATCAGTAACGGTAAGATAAATTAAGGTTCATTTGGATAGGTGTTGATATTGATTTCGATGATATTAAAATCAATAATAAAAATAAGTGTTTTGATGTAAATGTAACGGTAACAGTGAGATAAATAGTCATAGAGGTAAATTTGATTATTATAATGGTAAGATTAAAATCAATAATAAAAAGATATGTTTTGATGCAAATACATCAGTAACGGTAAGATAAATTATAAAAAAAAATAATTAAGTATATTAAATTAAAAATTATATGTAACAAAATTTCAAATTATTTAATATTTATAAAATTAATAAATTATTAAAAATATCTAAAATTATTTTTATATCCAAAAATAATTTATTAATAAATAATAAAAAATAATATATTAAATAATATTTTTATTATATAAAATTAAGTAAATTAAAAAAATTAATAAAATATTGAAAAGAATCCCCAGGTTATATTTTTTATACTTGGCAATAATTAATTGATTTAAATTTTATTTTTCACTTAATAAAAAAAAAAGCTACAAGAAATAATTAAAAATGTTGTATTATCACAGAATTTGTTTTTTTATTTTTTATGCAAGAAGAAAAAAGAGAAAACCAAAGAAGATTGAAATAGAAAACTAACCCATTTATTTAATCATGTAAAAAAAATATTTTGTTAATAAATTTTACCTTTTTTCGAAGTTAAATTTCCAATGTTAGTGACAAAATAAAGTAGATCTCTTTTGCAATCTTTAATCTTTAGCTGTTTCAATTTGAATGAAATGCTGTTTGTGATGATTTTTTCTTAGGAAAAAGAAAAATGAAAGATAAAAGAACATTTGTTTTTAAGCAAATAAAAAATCAAACAATTGAATTCTGGGGATAAGGAAACTTTTTTCTTGAAAAGGTTGCAAGGAGTGACCATTGAATTTTCAAAAAATAAAAAATTAAATAACATAAGCAAATGCAATATATTATGATTGAATTTTTTATAATAAATAAATAAATCAAGAATAAAGAAAAAAAGTTGGATGGGTTTTTTTTCCCATTAATGGTGTAATTATTAGCGGCCGAGTGGAGAATAAATAAGAAGAAGAAGAAGAACTTGGGTGGCTTTTTTTTTCAATTAATTGCATGGGTAGAGTTATTAGTTACAGAAAGAGTTTCATTTTTTGAAAAACAATGGCAGGATAATAAATGCAAAAAATAAATAAAAAAAATGAAAGATATAAGGTTTCAAATAATATATTAAAAATCAACAAGTGGTTGATTCAATCGGTTAAGCTCGTCATTTTTGACAAATAAATTTTGAGTTTAAATATTATCAGTAATCATTTGTTGGGATCATCTTGAATACACGATCTGTAATCACTTGTTTTAAATTATCAAATACGATACATCTTATCTTAATATGAGGGATTAAGTAACATATTTACATTCGAATTTTTCTTACCAAAAAAAAAATAATAATAATAGACTGAAAATTGATACATGGTATCATGGTAGAAAATTCTAAGTTCAAATAGATTATTGTTAGATATCAAAAGCCTTATTTATGTTTAAACTTTTGCCACATGTCAACAAAGTAAATAATTTATATTATAAAAATTAATTTACCTGTTAATAAATATATTTATTAATTTAATTATATTTTATTATAAAATAAATTAAATATTACTAATATTTTATAATTTATTATCATTAAACAATATTAAAATTATTAATTTGAGTAATTATTATAATATACATGCTAACTTTCATACTCTTAAATAAAATAATATTTAATTTTTATTAATATCAAATACAATTGTTTTTAATTTTTAAAAATTAATAATTATTAATCAAATAAATTAATTTTGCAAGTGATAAAATTGCTTTAGTAATAAAATCATTTCAGTGATTACATTTTCATGATAATCTTATCAAAAATGTTAAAAACTACATTAAGATAGAGTTTGATATCATTTTCAAAATCACGGTAATCTAATAATCATAGTAATAAGATCACCAAAGTGATTTAATTATAAGTGATCTTAAATTATTTTGTTTGATACAATATTATAAATAACTGTATTATGTATTATTATGTGAAAAATAAGTTATATAATACAAAATATAAAAAATAATCTTGCAAAAAAGTAAAACATTTAATACTTATTGAATCAATAAGTTATAAATTAGTTAAATGTTATTTTGTAAAAAACTAAACAGTATAAATCAATTTTGATAAAAATAATTTTTTTAAAAATTATTAGATAAAGTCATTATATTTTTCTTAATCAATATAGATCTATAATATAAAATTTTTTAGAATAAGTGATTAAAAAAGTCAATTTTTAAAACTTAGTGACTAGTTTTTTGAGGTAATGTTAAATATATTTTTTGTGAAAGTAAATTAATTAAAAATAATATTAAAAATTATTTTTCAATAGCAATAAAATATTTTCATTTTTTAAGTTAAAAATCAAATCACTCCCTATTATCCTTCTAATTAAGATCATGACCATATAAGAATTTTAAATTGTTACAAAATAAAATGATATAATTATTGAATATAAATATTATAATTTTTAAAAAAATCATCCCATACCAGACATTTTTTAAAAATTATTTTCTAAAAATTATTTTAATAATATTGTATAAATATAAATAACTTAAGTAACCTCGACGAAGTCGGGTTCAACCGGACCATAGGCTTCATCTGGCTGAAACAGCACAAGACTTTCAAGTTTTGGTTCAAGGACCTTGGAGTCTCCTCGTATGGTCCCGACATTACGGCGTTTATTGAGGATCGTACGATGCAGAAGTTGACAGGTGTCAAAAGCGAGGAGATGATGATCTAGATTACTCTTTCTGATATTTCCGTGGATCATACTAATCCTACCAAAATCACTTTTACTACTCCCATGGGACTGTCAAAGAGTTTTCCGGTGACAGCGTTCGAAGAGGAGGCCTAAGAGAAGAAATGACTTTTCTTCATTGATGAGTAAATTATTGAAAATAATATATCATGGTAGAGATTTTAAATTTCATCAACGGAGTTAGAGGATTATCACGTGATAATACCTTAACTCCGTTTAAGGAAGTTTAAAAACGTCACCCTGATATATATAGAATAATAATCAAATAATGTAACGATTATTTGTGGATTTATATTGTTTGTTTGGAGTTTAATAAAATTAATAGAATAAAGGGTAATGCTTAAGCTTTGAAAAAGCAATGGTACTGGGAGTGCGCTTACTTCCGAGCTAGCTGTTAGTACAGAATCTGCAGAGTCCTGGATTCGGGCCTGGCCTAATATACGGCATCTTTTGTTGTTACCGTGCAGACAGCGATGCTAACTTTAATTTTTTTTAATTTAAAAAAGATTCGTCTCACGAGCCAATGCAATAATTTAACAAAAAGCATATACCTAAGCAACCTAATGTAAAGTTATTTCTTTCCATGACCCTTCATCTTTTTCACAGATAGATGTTTGACCGAGTTATTTTTTAAAAATATTTTTTATTACCGAAGTTTGATTCAAATATATAATTATCCAAAGTAAAAAAAAAAAAAGAAGGGAATTTATAAAAGAAAATAAATTGGAAAAGGAAAGCAAATTAAAAAATCTCTCCCCATGGCAAATTAGAGAAGGAAATCCCCCTTGAACGGCGTCGTTTTAAGCTAAGTAAGGCTGAAGCAAGCACAGAGAACCTTAAGTCCTACTCTCCCAAATATAGCAATTAAAAGCACTCGCCTTACAATACGGCCCGGTTTTCCATGTACACCAAATGTAGCGAGTACCCTCTTTTCATTATCAATCGCGAGTAGGTGGTTTTCTGATAAGCACTATATTTTCTAAAATTATTTTCAATGTTTTAAGATCGAACATCTTTTTCAAGCAAAAATCCTCCTCTTCCTTTTTCCCTCTCTTCTCCCGTCTTTGGAGGGAAAGGAAAACTCCTAAAAAGAAAACCCCCAAAAACAAAGCTCTCTCCTACTCTTAACAAATTTTAGGGTTTTAGTTTACTCAAATTTGCTTCTATTTTTCTCTTCAATTCTTTTATTTGAACTTGCTTGTTCTTCACTTCTTGATCTTGCCTGGTTCGACTCTGTTCTCAAGTAAGTAATTTTTTAGTTTAAGGTCACCTTTAGCTTAAGTTTGTAGCTTTAGTTATTGGTTGCAACTTAGTTTCGATGTACATTCTTTCTCTCTAGGGTTTAAATTTTTTGTCATGCTTACTCTATTTAACTTAACTGAAATGCTCTATTTTTGGTATTGGTTCGTGATTCTTGTTCGAGAATCGATAGGTTTTAGTTGATTTGATGCATTTATCATGGTTTTTTTTTTCAAAAAATTTGGATGTTTAATGTTCTGTTTGGGGGAGCTGCTGTTAGTTCGGGTTTTAGTATTTTGTCCTCATTCGGTGATTTAAATAGAATGGTTTGCTCTAATTTTCTTCATCCAAATCGGAAATGTTCTTGCTGGAGCATGTCCTAATTTGGTTTGCTCTATTAGATGTAGACTCTTTCATATTAGTAATTTGCTGTTCTTTCGGGTACACTGTATTTACCATGTTGAAGTTGGCTTGCATGTTCTAGGGAAATTTGAATCCTTAGGGGGCTGTAGTGTGTAAAAGTTAAGATCCCAGAATGAGAGCTGCATTTTATACACTTAAATTTGGTGGAGGGTTCTGAGTATGATCTAGTTTTTAGCGTACGAAGATAATTTTAAATGAGAAAAAGGCACTTGTTTTGGGTAATGTAAGTTAGAAATTTTGAATGAGCTTCCTTATTTATGCTAAGAGTTTTCCATGACAATTTTTTTTTTTTTTTTTAAAGTTACTTAGAAAAAGTTAAAGCTGAAGGTTTTACATAGTTGTTATTATAATTGTTTCACTCCACGCTCCACATTAGACATCCAGAACATAGTATATTGGGAGTTTAATTTCATTTAAAAACCTTTTAGTGTATTTTAAATGCTATGAAGTTTGAATCATAACCCTGGAAATTTTAATTATTTAGAATTTCTGGAAGAAATGCTTCTGGAGAACATGCCAGTCCCAAAGCTTCAAGACCACGGAAGAAAAATCTGAAAAGTTACAAGGTCCAGAGAAGAAAGTATCGGAGCTAATTACATCTTCTGTTAGGAAGCAGAAACTTGGTATGTTGCTAAATTTGTCTCCTAAGTTTGTATTCTGGTTAAAAGGGTGTTCCTTTTTTTTTTGGTCAAAAGGAAAACATTGCAGTGATAATGGTTTATTTATTGTTCTTAATTTTGGCACCATTAAAAAATTTCAATAGGTTTAATGTACTGTGGTTTCCAATTCTAAGTCTGTTCTTGACTGTCAAATTTGCTGTGTAATTAAATTATGAAATTTATGGAACTTTCAGCCGGAACATTCCCAAAGAAAAATGAATAGCCTGTTGGGCCTACAAATTTAAATGCTAGATGTGGCTTGCTGCGAGATGAAACTTCTGATGCTTGTTTGGGATTTGATTCAGCTAATGGTTCTCATGTAGATCATAAGGTAATATGTCTAGCGCTATTTTATTTTATGCATCTTCTTTGATGTTGCTGAGGGAGAGGAGTGATTGACTATGATTCTTTTTCATATTTTTACTTAAAATATGCTTTTGCTTGGTGCAATTAGTTAGGAAGGTGAGAATTCCTAAGAAAAAGAAAGAAAAGAAAAAAAAAAAAGATAACCATCTATGCGGTTAAGATTTCGCTTATTTCCTTAATTATATTGCAGGGCAGGGATCACCATCTGACAGGTACTATATTTTCTCCACGCTTTCACATTCATAAGATTTGTGGAGGTGAGATTGAAGGTGGAGGTACGTTATATTTAGCATTATACCTGTAATGTGCTTTTGCTTTCTCTTAAGTGATCTTAATGCATATATCCTATTTAGTTGACTTTATCAAATTCTTTTTGAGGGAACACTCAAAAATCCATCAAGACAGGGGAATAGAGGAGTCACAGATTGATATGCTGGATGCTCATGTTACTGGAGAAGCTCTTAGGTCTACTTCTGGAGAGGAGATGCTTGGTGTAGACACAAATGCTGTGATTTGTAATGCAGATTCAGGAGCTGTCTTTTCATCTGAAGTTTCACCCATATACCTTGCCATGAAAAACTCAAAATTAGAATGTGCTGATGAGCATAGCAAAGAATCTATGTCAGCTGATGTCTGTGTGGAGGATAAATACTATGAGGAATTTGATGACTTTGATCCTTATTTATTTATAAAGAACTTACCAGAGTTGTCATCTGTTGTCCCTACTTTTCGGCCTATGCTTCTGCCTAAGCAGACCCGGAGTTGCCCGCCTACCACTCTTGTCTTGGACTTGGATGGTAGGAATACTATTAGATGATTACTTGGAAGAATTTTTATGCTTACAGTTGTGATTTTGGCAGCATTTATCAAACATGAATTCTGACTCTTTAAGTCTTACCTTCATGCAACAAGTTTTGGATTGATATTTAAATCTCCTCTCAAGCTCCTAGACTTGAATTAGTTTAAATGCTAATTATAGTGTAGTACTTTCTGCAGCTTATTCTCCTTAGGTTTTTTCTGCTTTCTCCAATCAAAGAAATCTTTTGGGGTTCTTTTTAGAGTTGTCCAGTCAATTTCGTGGCAGCTTATATCTTGCAATAATAATTCATCAGAATCTGAATTCCAAAATGAATATTATGTTACTTGATTAGTGGCATAGCATGTTATAATTCTGTGTGGTTGTTGGAATGTTATCTTTCAAGTGTCATTCCTATTCCTTAACATTTACTAGGCTTGTCTGTTTTTAACATTTGTATATTAGCATTGAATTTTCTTTCTATAATTGGTGATGAGTATCCTCGGGTATTGATTCAATTGCATTGTGTGCCAGAAACTTTGGTGCATTCCTTGCTAGAACCTTGCAAAGATGCAGATTTCACATTCCCTGTAAAATTTAATCTCCAGGAATACACTGTTTATGTTAGATGCCGTCCTCACCTAAGAGATTTCATGGACAGAGTTTCCAGTCTTTTTGAGATTATTATATTTACAGCTAGTCAAAGTATTTATGCAGAGCAACTTCTAAATGTGCTTGATCCAAAGAGGAGAGTTTTTCGCCATCGTGTTTTCCGAGAATCATGTATTTTTGTGGATGGCAATTACCTTAAAGATTTGTCAGTCCTTGGCCGTGATCTGGCATGTGTTATCATTATTGATAACTCTCCGCAGGTAATTTCAGAGTTCCTTTCTTACATGGACTTTGTTCTAGTGCTTCTGCTACGCACTGGAAAAAATAAAGGACTGAAACAAGGGTGGAAACCTTACTTTCAAATACACCAATGCACACTCAGCATGAATGTCATAGAATTAGCATTAAGAAAATGATGTTTACAGTGGTTCTCCTCTCCAGGCTTAACACACAAGACAGACGCAGACACATGAATATATCTTCTTGTTGGTTACTTTAATTGTGTGGTTGATTATACTTTGGCATAAAATTTGATGAAATCCATTGTTGTAATGATTTTTGTTTGGGGGGATTCATCGTTAGATTTAATAAAAATTTTCAAAGTTGTCATCAATCTTTTATAGAATGTGAGTGATTATTCAAAATATTATCTTTTAGTAAAATTTTTAAAATTAATTAAGAATTATTAAAAGAAGTTTAAGTTTGCGAAATTAATATTAGGTTTGAAAATATGATTACAAGTGAAGATTCATGTCGTTCATTTAAAGAATGATATCAATTAAACATGTATAATTTTTTAATTTTGATAATATGATTTTTTTTATTAAAATTAATTTCTTGAAATTTATGCAAAAATATATTTTTTGTAAAATTAGTATTATTTTTTTTTATTCTATAAATTCTTAAACGTTTTGACGGAATTTATAAAGAATCATTATTTAGAAAAATATTTCGAGAAAATTAATTATTTACAAAATTTTTAAAATTTTGTTATAAAATATTTTATTTATTTGTTTTAAAAAGAATTAGAAACATTTCAACTTTTTGATGAATTTTTAAAATTTATTAAACAAATTTTACAATTATCTTGATTTTTCAATGAAATTTTAAAAATTTTTAGTAAGTTTTAGGATTATCTCAATTTTTTTATAAGATTTTAAATAAAATTATTTTTTTATATAATTAAAGGAATTTATTAATTAATTTTATTATGATTATTTTAAAAAAATTTATTATTTATTAATTATTTATATTTTTTATAAAAATATAAATTTAGATTATTTAGATTTACCGGTGAAATTTAAATATTAATATTTAGTTTAAAAAAATCAAACTTTTTCAATTTTTTATATTTTTTTAAAAAATTCAAAATTCAAAATATTAAATATTATTAATTTTATTTTTTTATTATTTTTATTATTGTTTTACATTGTTTAAACCAATCTTTATTTTAGTGAAAATAATTTTAGATTATTCCAATTTCATGGTGAAATCCAAAAACTTATTTTTAATTGCAATAATTAAAGAAAATTAAACTTTTTTAATTTTTTCTAAAGATTGCATTTAAAAGATTCATTTAAACAATTTATTTTTTTATTTTATTATAAAATTTAGATTATCTCGAATTACCAGAGAAATCTAAATATTTATAATTTGCTTGTATTAAAAAAAATTGAAATATCCAAAATATCAATTATTATTATTTTTTTAATTTTTATTATTGCTTTACATTGTTTAAATCAACCTTTGTTTTAGTAAAAGTAATTTTGGATTATTCTAACTCCTTAGTGAAATCCGAAAAAATTATTTTTACTTGTAATAATTAAAGAAAATTAAATTTTTTTTAACTTTCTTTAAAAATTACATTTAGAAGATTATTTAAACAATTTATTTTTATTTTATTATTTTATATTTTATTATTATTTACTTAGCAAAAATAATTTTTTTAAAATTATCTTAACACTTTGATGAAATTTTAATAATATTTTTGCTTGTAATAAAATTTTATTTTCTTTAAGTAGTTGTTATTATAAAAATTTTTTATTTATATTTTTTAGGTCTTTATTTTATTTCAGTTTTATTTTTATTCTATTTATTTATTTGTTTTTTTAAAATATTATTAGTAATAATATAAAATAACAATAATAATAATAACAATATCATAAAAAAAAAACATAAAAATCAACATAAAAAAATAAAAATAAAAATTGAAACAAAAAATAAAAAGAAAAAGAAAAACTTGCGAAACGGGTCAGGTCGGTGTGCGAATCCTACACGGGTCGAGTTTGGTCCGAATGCTCAAAACGACATCGTTTTTGATAGCTTATAAAAGGCCTATTTTAGTTTTTTTTTTTTTAATTTTTTCTTTCCCCTCTCTCTACCTCAAACCCTTTCTCTTTAAAATCTCATAACCCCTTGTTGGTCACCGTGATAACTCAGATTTTAATCGATCGTCGTCGTACATTGGTGGTTGAAAATTTCAACGGCATCGAAAATTTCAAAGATCTCAGATTTTGGTGGCCGAAAAATTCAACGGTCGTCGAAAAATTCAAACATTTTCAGATTCCGACGACTTAAAAAAATTTTTCAAAAATTCTAAAAAATTTCCTTAATAATCTTTTTTGCTTTCTAAACACTTTTCCAAGCTCAAATTTTTCAAAAAAAATCTCAAACTCATTAGATTGAGAATTTCATTCTTGAAATTTTTTTTTTTTATGTTTGCTGTTGTTTTTTTTTTATTGTGTGTTTCCTTTTTTTTTTTGTTCCTCCCTGTTTTTGCAAAACTTAGCCTATTTATAGAGCTTTTGAGATTCAAGATCCCAGATCTTCTGGGATCTTTTTGTGAAAAATTTGAAGGTCTATTTAGTGACTTTTGGTCATTGAATTTTATGCTGCCAAATTAGGTAGTATCAGTGAGAAATTTAGACCACTTTGGCAGCTTGATTTTGGCTGCTAGAATTGAAATCAAAAATTTTTTTTTATTTTTTTCTTTTTGTTTTAAAGAAAAAAAGAATAATAATAATAATAATAATAATAATAATAATAATAATAATAATAGAAGAAGAACAAAATTGGTGCCTACAACTGTCTCTTTTTACTTATTTATGAGAATTAAGAATAAAGCAAAGATAAAAAAAACACCAATTTTGTTTAGGTAAACACATACAAAAAAAATGAAACATTGAACATAAAGTTTTTTTTTTTTTGAAAAAAAAATTGAAAAGCTCTTTTAAACAGAGGTTATGCAAATATTAAATTTAAAAGGCTTCTCTCACCAGAGACAACAAACTTTAGATTCAAAAGTACTCCTTTAACCAACGACAACAAACTTTAAATGATAAAAGGCTCCTTTCACTAGAGGCAATGAACTTTAAATCCAAAAAAGCTTTTTTAACCAACGGCAACAAACTTTAAATGTTGAAAAGCTCTTCTGACCAGAGGCAATGAACTTTAAATAGCTTCTTTAACCAAAGGCAACAAACTTTAAATTAAAGATCTTAGAGATTGTGCCATTTGATCTTACAAATCATGCCTAATTTTGATAGAGTCCTCTGACTAGAGACTCTTGAAATTAAAAAGCTCATCTGATTAGAAGAAACAAACTTTAAATTCAAAAGGCTTCTTTGACCAGAGGCAACAAACTTTAAATGTTAAAAAAGCTCTTTTGACCACAGGTAACGAACTTTAAATTCAAAAATCTGAGAGGCAATGGTATTTGAAAGATTTCTCTGAACAGAGAGTTCGTATCTTTCTTGCTTTTGACTTTTTCTTTTGTTAGTTTTGGATTGTCCTAGACCCATACATATGTCATGTCACATGAATGCGTGAATGACATTTTCATATTTTTGCAATGCCATGCAATAAATGATGATCATGATGCAAATGCACTATTATGCAAATGAAAAAACCATCTTTTTTTTTCGTTGTCATTTTCCTTTAATTTCAAAATTTTTCAAGGTTTGTTTCCTTTCTTCTTTTCTTGAATCCTATGCATTCCTGCAATTGATTAAGTTCCAATGAAAAGGATTTCTCTTCATATCCCATATTCCATGTCAACCACTTTATGACCTATCGGCCACTTTTCTCATTAACCTTTTGTTCCCTGTTATTTTGCTCATCATTTTAAATCTCTTTCAAAATAATGTAGGTGTTTTTTATGGTCATTGTTATTGCTGCATCATCTTTTGAATTTCAAACAATTATAACACATTGCATATTTCTCCTTTTTTAATGAGAGGGACAAAAGGAAAGATAAACAAAATGGTATTTTATTTCGATAAAAGGGAGAAGTATTTCATGCATTATCAAAAAAGATATAACAAGGACAATAAGTAATCACATAACAAATATTTAGATCATCATGAACTAATTCATCATGGATTTTTTTTTTAAGACTTATGATTGGTGCCCTTGACTTTTTTGAAAATGCAGCAAACCAAGCAAGCCCAAAACTAATAAAATCTTCTGACACATATTGAGGATTGACCCACTCCATTCATTGTCCCTTTTTTTATTTTTATCTAAGTTACCCTTTCAGATTTTTAACTCAGATATCTTTTTAACCCATTTTATATTTTTTAAATCATAATACTATTTTACTGCATCAGCATTGATTGGATTTGACATATCATCTTAATCTATTTTTGCCAAGATCAGTGCCCCACCAAAAAAAGTTTTTTTCACCACATATGGGCCTTCCCAATTAGGAGTCCATTTTCTTCGAAGATCCTGTTGGTTAGGAAGAATTCTTCAATACTAATTCTCTCTCTCGAAATTATCGTAGGTGAATTTTTTTATCATGAGCTCGCATATTCTTCTTTAATACAGTTGGCCATGGTAAAGTGCAGCTAATCTCTTTTCTTCAATGAGATTCAATTGCTCATATCAAACGCGAACCCATTCAGCTTCTTTCAACTTAACTTCCATAAGAACGTGCAAGGAGGGAAATTTTAACTTTAATAGGCAACACTACCTCCATTTCATATACCAATGAAAATGGTGTGGCTCCTGTAGATGTGGGAATCAAAGTTCGATAAGCATGTAATGCAAATGGTAGCTTTTCATGCCAATCTTTATACACATCTGTCATCTTTTCAATAATTTTTTTTTATGTTTTTATTGGCTGCTTTAACTATCTCTTGATCCTTGGACGATAAGGTGCTGATTTATGGTGCTTGATTTTAAATTAAACACAAACCTCAGTCATCATTTTATTATTCAAATTAAGAGCATTATCTGAAATGATCCTTTTGGAAGGCCATATCGACATATGATCTCTTTCTTGATGAACTTACAAACCATCATTCTTGTCACATTGGCATATGAAACCGTCTCTATCTATTTTATGAAGTAGTTAATTACCACTAAAATGAATCAATATCCATTTGAGGCTTTTGGTGTAATGAGCCTTATCACATCCATTCCTCACATAGAGAAAGGCAAAGATGTTGACATAACATGCAAGGACATTAGAGAAACTTGAATCTTGTCTGCATAAATTTGACATTTATGGTATTTTTTAGCATAGTCAATGCAATCTTTTTCCATTGTCAACT